GATTACCTACCTTAAACAATTTATAAGTATCTTATAAGTGCATATATTATTATCAATCACATAATTAATTTTATGCAAATTAGACTTTTCACTTCTTTTTAATTCTCCAGATTTTCATTTCTTCAGATAATGTGGTTTGCCACCTGTCCAATGTTTATTGGAGAATCATTTTGCTTTTTAGGTGAATTATTCATTCATATCTTTTGTCTCTACCAACTATTTAGCAGAAGTCCTTTATATTCAGGCATATTAGAACAAAGTTTGTAATACTGTTTGTACAGTTACTCCCAGCTTCCCAGATTTCCACATTTTAAATTAATTTTATTTGATAATACATATATTTGTTTTAAATTTTCATTGATTTTGTATTTTCAAAATAATACAGGAAAAATCATAAGGCTTCATGAAATATAAGACCACTTTCAAAGACTTGAAAGCTCAGGACACAATGGAAAAACTTTAGACTTAATTCCACACTTGTGAAAAAGGCAGATAATATTTTAATATTTGCCTAGCATAAAGGAGATACCATATGAAGTGCCTCTGCCTTAAACTAATTCTAAAAATTATTATTTCCATCCCACCATTGAGGTTATTTTACCTGTGCTTCTCTTTGGACCCCACACACCAAATTCTAGACAGTCCAATTCATGTGGCCCTATATCCAGACCTCTAGGCCTAAGGGACGGGATTTCATCTCCATCATCATCTTCGACACCAAGGGAAGGTGGTGTTTGAGTACCCAATGAGCATGAAATAGATACCGGAGTAATCTAATATTAGATGAGTGATCTTGAAAAAACTTTGAACTATGTTATAAATTTAATTGGAAGAATAAAGGGAAGTTTAAAAAAACCTTGTCTATTCTTAAAAAAAATGTTAAATGTAAAGAAATGTGAATTATTGGGAAAATATTTGGAATATATTTTATAAACAAATGATTAATATTGTTATATATAAATAAATCTGTTTGCCTAGAAGAGTGTTGTTCAAAGTCCATAGTGAAATAATTCAAATGAGAACTATGAATCACAATCAAATACATAAAGATTAAAGTATAAAAATTAATTATATACAGGGAAGGGCAAAAGTAGGTTTACAGTTGTTCATATGGAAAATAATATACTAATAAATAATAATACAAGAATAAACTGTGTTCTGCATATTCACCACTGTAAACCTCTTGCCCCACATTGTATATGTATATGCTTATGTGTGTACAAAGCTTGTTGAAAAACTTTCTCTCTGTATATATATATTTTGCAACACAAATTTTGAAGAAATATGTGTGTGTGTGTGTGTGTGTGTGTATGTTCATGTGAATCTACATCTATACACACAGAAATATATCTAGAAAATTTCAATTCAATTACAAAGGATGGATACCTTGTTGTGTATAAGGATGAAAGAAATAATACAAGGAAAAGTTCTCTAATAAATATACATTTCTGCACTGCATTTATTTTTGGAACAAATATATAAATTTTGAAATCTGAAATCTGTATCTTTACCTGTGAAACCAGGCTACTATTCCTGCCTGTATTTCTGCACATCAGTGAAACTGGTTGGGACTCAATTTCCCATCCCATAAACACCAGGGGATGTGTTTAGGTCAATTCTTTTAAAAATGGAATACCCATATGACCTATATCATAAGGAATATAAACTCTCAAATAGAAGGACAGGCACAATGCTGAAGATAAAATTACTTGAAGGGGCAAGCCCCAAATATGCCACGACCTTCACTGTGAGTTCAGGATGACTTGCAGGAGGGCCAACAACACAATGAGTACACTACACAAGAAATGGGAATTTTGAAGGCATTTGGGGGGTGGCCTAGGTGGAAGCCTCTTGCATGAAGAGGCACGCTGAGTCAGGGTCCCATCTGCTTTTATTCACTTTGAATACACATTTGCCCTTTAGCAATGCATACAGGCAGATCAAAGGTAAAGTTTGGTGAACAATGTAAGGATTATCAGGTCAGGAAATCACCTGGAGCCATCACAATCACAGCAGTGCAAACTTGTGCTAAATATCAAAGTCCATTGGCCTTTCAATATCTCTTTTGTACTTTTATGCTAATTGCTGTTTGCTTTAGCCTCCAGCATTTCCCCTTTTTGTTTTCTTAATAAATCTTGAAAAACATATGTCCCCTGTAGGACTCGAGTTTTTTTTAAGACTCTTCATTCCGCATCTATAGACTAGAAATAAACATATAAGACCAAGAATGAGACAGACAATAGTGATTATGCTAAGAGGCAAGTGTAGGGAGATCCAATGAAAAGGATTGAATTCTCTCATGTCTTTTTTAAATTGCTGCCAGGCATATAAGAAACTAGTCTGTAAGTTTGCCTGGGACTGCTGGGAGTAGTTGTCTGTCCGCAGCTACAGGTACAGGTTGAGGCTCCAGGTGCAAGGTCCTCATTAGTTTGGTTGGCTCCTCCCTCGAATTCATGTTGGAGTTTGATGTTCCTTGCAGGAATCCACATGGGCTTGGAGGAGT